TAGCTCTTCAATATATATCCATATGAATGATTTTTAATAATTTTTCACATCATGAAAGACCCAATATAACACAACTAGTCATGCCTCATAATACAAATATTTGAATTAGTAAACTTCGGTTTATTATAGTGTTTGTTGCAATCATTTCAATATTTATAATATAAACTAGAAGAGAAAGCGGATAAATTTTTCAATACATATTTTCTACCCGGTATAATGATTATAATAAATAAGTATTCACATTTGCTATCTTGATATGATATCAATTTAGATGAATATCTTTGAAACATAACAAAATTTTATGAGACTTCGAAGAGAATAGTATATCATTTATAATAAAATTTATCCTTTCGGATAATAACATATTTGCTCTTATGAAGTCTTTAAATTAGCCACTTCAAGTAATAATATATTGACTCTTCTAGAGCTTTAAAAGTCATCTCTTCATATAATAATATATTCACTCTTCTAGAGCTTCAAAAATTTATCTCTTCGAGTAATAATATAATCGCTCTTTTAGATCCTTAAAAATTTATCTCTTTAAGCAATAATATAATCACTATCTCGGAGCTTTCTATTACATTTATAATATCATATACAATATTAACACAAAATAATCAAATAAATAAATAAATACAAAATAAATAAAAAAATAAATTCTTCATAACCATAAATAAATAAATATATAATAAAATAAATTTATCGTTATCTCTATGCAATTATAAAAAAAGTATAAAACATCTTATTTATAAATAAAAAAGCTAACAAGTTATTAATTTCAATTAACTCCATTTTGATATATAAAATTAGCCTCTGTATTTTTTTTTCAATGAGGTTTGACAAGGCTTAATGAGGTGTTTCAACGAGATTTGACAAGGCTTAATGAGGTGCTTTGGTGTATGACGAGTAAACGACCAATGTCCATTCATACCACATCTATAACATTCATTTTCAGAATGCTGACTTTATCTATTTTTTTCATGATTATCCACTTTTAGTGGTGAGATGTAATGTTATGGTCACTACGATTATAATGATAATTATTTTGACCACGTCCATGGCTATGGTCACATATTCTTTCATGCCTAAAACTATTATAAATTGTCACATTCGTTGCATGAAATGAAGTATATCCAATTGGTTGAGATTTATTATTTTTCATCAATAGCTTGTCATTTTATTTAGCCGCCATAAATAAGTATGAAATTGATTCAAAATATTTCCTAAACTCTTTTTCTTGATATGCTACTTGCAGGAGCATATTCGAGACATGAAAAGTAAATGATATTTACTTAGCATTAAGCACTCATGATCAATAATTCTTGCCCAAAATGTAAAGGGTCACAAAATTAAGTTTTATGATGGTTGATATTGTTAAAATTGTATATTGCTAATTATAATAATAATGTGAGGAAATAAAGACAAAATATAATAATAAAATTTAAATAAAAACACACATAATAATAAAATTTGAACTTTTCAAATGATATATATTAAATTATTAGATTATGTATATGAAATCATTTAAGTTTTTAAAATTTATATTCTATGTATCATTAGATTTTAAAGTGTATGATAAATTAGATACGTATCTCTTAATGATCTAAAAAATTTAGATCGTTTGGTAGAGCACTTGTGTAGAAAAAAATCCAATGATTGAAATAAATGATTAAGTCTTTTGGTAGATACATACCTCAAAGTCTATTATCTCGATTGGTTAGAGCTTCGTGTCGATAAAGTGTTATAAAATAAATAGAAATAATAGGAGAATTGAAGAAAATTATGACAAGAATATGAAATCACCGTAATGTGAATACAAATAATCAAAACTTTAAATTTTCTTTTATTCTCTCTAGAAAACTTGTGTAGAGCACTTGTGTAGAAAAAAATCCAATGATTGAAATAAATGATTAAGTCTTTTGGTAGATACATACCTCAAAGTCTATTATCTCGATTGGTTAGAGCTTCGTGCTTGATAAAGTGTTATAAAATAAATAGAAATAATAGGAGAATTGAAGAAAATTATGACAAGAATATGAAATCACTGTAATGTGAATACAAATAATCAAAACTTTAAATTTTCTTTTATTCTCTCTAGAAAACTTGTACACTAGCTAATGAACAATTAAACCTATTTATAGGCTTCGAATTGAGAAAAGAATTGGAATGGACTATGAATAATTAAAAGTACATCAATTGCATTACTTTTTTAATTTCTCATATTGAATGATGAATTGAATCACATTAAGAATAATGAGTAGTGAAGATATACAAAGTAGATAAATATTCATATGGACATTCATTATTCATAACAATACTATAATTATCTCGATGATTGATATGAAAAAATGATAAATAATAATAATAATAAGAAAAAGACGAAGAGGTATAAGAAGAAGAAGATAAAATTTTCAAAAACACTGTAACTATTAAATCATGTATGTGAATTTATAATGAGATCCAATAGTGGGTTTCACTAATCTATTAATTAATTCAAGTTTAATTATTATTTTTTTAATTTATTTTCTTAACAGGTGCAAGCGACTGAGACAAACCTCTTGTCCTGTTTTGCAAGCAAAAACAACTGTATCCCATAAATAGAACGGTGATGAAATCTAAGGAGAGAGCAAAAGATTACAAAAGAAAGAAAGCAATCCATATTATATAGAAGAATAACAAAAGAGAATAGTGTGAAAGATCTTAATTAGACACCCAGCGCCAGCAAGCCTGTTTGTTTAGTTCCTAACCAACATATGAAGCTCTGAGGGCTCCAAAGTTTTGAAGTTGATAAGATTAAGTTGTCGATGTCGTTGATGGCCCCCTCATATCCACAGAAATCGTTCCAACGATTCTGTCCAAATAAACAGCTAGCTATCATTTTTATTTAGTTCCACACTTCATATTCTTCAACCGGTTGCTACATCAACTTCCAGATATTTTTGCACTTTTAAATATTAAAACAACCAATCACTAATCAGGGCACCTCATTTCTACAGTAAGGATAACCACTATTTAATTTCCACTCTAGGGCATTGAATTTGCTCATTAAAAAATTGTTGAAGGGGAGTATACAGTCTTTTCAGCAATTGGAAACTTGGAGTGCTTCGTTGAGCAGTGCTGGGTGTGAATAAATCATGATAGAGTCAGCGTGATTAAGCACTAAGGACTATTAAGGTTTTGTTTAATTTAGTGATACTTCAAGATAATAATCACGCTAACAACTTCAATTTTCTAAATATGTTTACATCCCAAAAAACTAGTACCCCGACATCATCAAACGATTTCGCCTTTCTATTAACAGCCTCATCTAGGTTCCAAATTGATAAGCCAATTCTCAATTGGATCCCAAAAAAATATTTTCTCGATTGATGCTCGATCCTTTCGAAAATCCTTAATCAAGTTGTTGTATTTGAAAAATTGTAAATTTTTTTTTACAGAAACTGCTGAGTCATCCTTAAAACAGTGTCATTTAATTCTTTAAAATGGGTAATTTCATGAAAAATATTAATAGATTTGAGTGAAATATTTAAAATAATTGTTAATTTGAACAGAAAATGTTAAATGTTAACTTATCTGCAAAATAACATTGTTTTACTGCATAAAACAGATAATTTAGACAAAAAAGTAATAGCGAATTTGGATGGAAGATCTAATTGAGAATTTTTAATTTGTTAGGGATCCAATTAAGGAAAAAAAAAAATCCTTCGGATCCAATCGATAATCGGTGTCTCAGTTGGGGCTTGCATGAGATTTTTCTCCCCCTGATCATAAACTTTCTTACTTTTTCATTGGCCCAAGTAAGATTAATAAGTCCACATCTGTTAATATTTTGAGAGCAACATTGATACTTATCCCTTGATATTATGTTCCTCATATTACTTTTAAATTAAACGCATAGTTTTCATAAAACAAATAAATAATAAATGCATTAGCTTTTAAAAAAGAATAAAAAAACAACCCAACAAAACAAATTGAATGAAGCTAAATCTCATGTTTCTTTTTAAAAAATAATAATCAAATTTAGTACACAACTATAATTTAAAAACATGGAATAAAATAAAATAAAATTCCTTAAAAAAAATTATACTAAATAATTTATTTTTTCAAACTTAACAAATAAATCAAGCCCTAACTATTTTTTTTCATAAACTCGAAGAGATTGATTTGGTGATTAAAAATTATTTATTTATTTATTTATTAGTTTCAAATTTTGAAATCAACATCTCGAAAGAAATTGATAAGCAAAATAATTTGACGTAGAGCGTGTGTGGTTAAATTATTATTTTTTTATTTTAATTTAGGCATAAATTAATTATTATTATTATTATTATGATAGATAAAAAAAGAATCTTTTTCATAAAAATACGTATTCAGTGTGAAAACAAATAATTTGCTTAGATCGTGGGTTTCAAACCCCCACAGTGTCTTAAATTATGTTTATGTATGTATCAAGGAAGGAATGAATTGAAGTAACACAAAGGGTTTTTTTTTTTTTTTTTTTGGTATTTCCAATGGCATTTAACTAGCAAAGAGGGTACTCATTTGCCAATTTGAAAGGGATAGCTTTTGTTAAATGTTTTAGTTTCACGTTTTTAGTAAATGGAGGGAAATAAAGTACAAAAAAGAAGGGTATGCGGCAACTTGGATGATTTGTTTCTGGTCACAGTGGTAGTTGAAGAGAAGTAGAGAATCAGCACTCAATATTTAATGTTCCATTTCCTTAGCAACTAGCACAACTGATGGATTCCATGGAATCACACACGCTAACATATCCTGCAAAAACCAAATTGTGTTTTACCCAACCCCACTTCCACTCCCACATCTCCCCTCTCTCTTTCTTAATCTTTCAGACAAAAATAATAATAATTAAAAAAAAAAAACATCATCATCCATATCATATCTTGCTAAGAGAAAAATAGATTAAGACAACAAAAACACATGATACAACACTTTGTTTCTTTGAATATAATCCACTCACAATCTTAAAAAACAAAACAAAAATGCCAGAACCAACTGAAGGTGGAGAAGGAGGAAGAGGAGTAGGTGAGCCAGAAGGAAGGAAGTCAATGGAGTTGGATCTTGATCTTGATAATTCTTGGCCTTTAGATCAGATCTCTTTTATTTCTTCAAACCCCATGTCTCCTTTTATTATTTCTTCTTCTAATGAACAGCCGTGTTCTCCTCTTTGGGCTTTCTCTGATGTTGATGATGATAGACAAGTTGCTGCTGGTCAGGCTTCCTCTGCTTTTGCTGGTGGCCTCCGCTTGTCTGATTATCCTATCTTCCTCACATGTCAGTCACGTGTTTTGTTTAATCTTCTTCTTCTTCTTTTTTTTTTTTTGAAACTTTGGTGCTGTGTACGTGAATGAATGAAGATTTTCTAATGCTAAAGTTGGTTTCTTTAAATAGGAAATGGCGAAAAAGGTTGTAATTTTTAGCTTTGTTTTGGTGGGTTTGGTGGTAGAAATGATTGGACTTTTTTCACTTACTTCCTCAGATTGAAAAGTTTGCTACTTTGTGTGTGGTGGTGAATGTAGAGTTCTGTTGGGTTTTCTTTTCTGTGTTCTGAGTTTTATTTTTTTGTGGTCATATTTGGTGCTTTTGATTGGTTAATCTTTGGTGCGTTTATTGTAGAATTTATTTTGTCTTGTTGACTGTAATGGGGGATTGAAATTTCATTGGTGTCTGAATTTGAGTTAAAACTTTCGCAAAGCATGTGTCTATCACAGAAATTGGAACTTTGGAAACATAATTGTAGAAAGCCAAGGTTAAAGCCATGAAAATGAAACATGAGCATGATCTCCAGTTTTTGGGAGACGAGAAAATCAGAAACCAAGAAGGAGAAACTGGTGCCATTTATTTGTGTCTGTTTTGATGGCCTTAAATTTGTCTTCTCTCAAATGGATAATATCAGTTAATACCTGAACTCAGTGCTGCCTTTAATCTGGAGAGTTTGCTCAAGTATATTGTTCTTTTTCAATATCTTTTTGACAAAATTTATAAGCTTTGATGTTTGAGGTCACACAGAGAGGATTTTGCAAGTCTAAGTAGGCGGCTCTTGATCTTTCACCGGTTAACTGTATCATTTAATTTCTTGCAGTTTATCTTCTCTATGTACTATCAGTATTGCAGCTTATTGAGCACTGTCAGGATTGTGGATCATATGTTTGTATTTTTTGCTCTTCTGACTTGGAAATTTGCTTAATGCAGGTAATCCAAATTCAATAACTGAACGGCAAGGGGAAAATGATGATAACAGTAAACTTCCTTCTCCATTTCTGGGATTGATGCCTATCGACAACCCAGATGGGTATTGTATAATTAAAGAGAGAATGACACAGGCCCTTAGATATTTCAAAGAAACAACTGAACAACATGTTCTAGCTCAAGTTTGGGCACCTGTGAAGAATGGGGGTCGGTATGTATTGACAACTTCAGGGCAACCCTTCGTTCTTGATCCTCATAGTAATGGACTTCACCAGTATAGGATGGTCTCTCTTATGTATATGTTCTCAGTGGATGGAGAGAGTGATGGAGAGCTTGGGCTTCCTGGTCGTGTTTTCAGAAAAAAATTGCCGGAATGGACTCCTAATGTTCAGTATTACTCTAGCAAGGAGTATTCACGGCTTAATCATGCTCTACACTACAACGTTCGGGGAACCTTGGCGTTGCCAGTCTTTGAACCTTCTGGACAGTCTTGTGTCGGTGTGATTGAGCTCATTATGACTTCACAGAAGATCAACTATGCACCCGAGGTTGATAAAGTCTGCAAGGCACTTGAGGTTGGTTTCATCTCCCCTTGATATGCATATTAATTGCATGTTATTTCCTTTCTTGATTGAGGTTGGTAATCCTTTAATTTTAAGTGAGATTTCCTAACGGAAACTTGGATATATGATTATTTTGATCGTATTGCATATACCTCGGCAAATAATTCATATTGAGATTCCCAGTCACATAATTTCAGTTGCTCTGCAGGCAGTAAATTTGAAAAGTTCAGAGATATTGGACCCTCCAAGCATACAGGTGAGCTGCAATAATATATTTTATGCAAAATCTGGTATTATTTGGAGAACAACAAGATAAATCTTGTGCTCTTCTTTCATTTCTTCCCCCCATATTCTCACAGATGAATACTTGGCACTGCTTTTAAACCAGATTTGTAATGAAGGTCGCCAAAATGCACTAGCCGAAATTTTGGAGATATTGACAATGGTGTGTGAAACTCACAAATTGCCTTTGGCCCAGACATGGATTCCGTGCATGCATCGCAGTGTTCTGGCCTATGGTGGTGGTCTGAAGAAGAGTTGTACCAGCTTTGATGGCAGTTGCAATGGGCAAGTCTGCATGTCCACTACTGACGTGGCATTCTATGTAGTGGATGCTCACATGTGGGGTTTTCGGGGGGCCTGTCTTGAGCATCACTTACAAAAGGGTCAGGGTGTTGCTGGGAGAGCATTTTTGTCCCAAAACTCATGCTTCTGCCCAGATATTACCCAGTTCTGCAAGACTGAGTATCCTCTAGTGCATTATGCACGGATGTTTGGATTAACCAGCTGCTTTTCAATCTGCTTGCGGAGCAGTTATACTGGAGATGATGATTACATCCTTGAATTTTTCTGCCCCCTTGCATCACAGATGGTCACAAACAGAAGACTTTGTTAGGCTCCATATTGGCAACAATGAAGCAGGATTTCCAGAGCCTTAAGGTTGCTTCTGGAATGGACCTTGGAGAGGAAGATGGATTTGTAGAGATGATTCAAGCGTCTACTAATGGGAGACTTGATTTGAGACTTGAATGCATTCAGAGGCCCCAACCTACAAAATCTCCCCCAGATGACAATGTGTTGCCAAATGAAGGGCGTATTGTACAAATTGATTCAGAAAAGAATCATCAGTTAATGTTGGACTTGGATGCCATAAAAAATGGAGGCATTGCTGTTCAAGCAGACAGCAGACAAACTCCTGCTTCTCTCCCAGAGAAGAAAGAGACAAAAAAGTCAACAGAGAGGAAACGTGGAAAGGCAGAGAAAGCGATTAGTCTAGAGGTTCTCCAACAATATTTTGCTGGAAGTCTGAAAGATGCTGCAAAGAGCCTTGGTGGTATGATTGTGCACTTACAAGTCGCCGCTTGCAATTCTTGTTATCATTGCAAAGATACTGATTTCTTTTGTTTATAAAAACTGGTTAATGTTGTGTTATAACATCTTATAAAATGGATTTTTCTTAGACAATTTCTTGTGTTACACTTTACAGTTTGCCCTACTACAATGAAGCGCATTTGCAGGCAGCATGGGATCTCTCGCTGGCCATCTCGCAAGATCAACAAGGTTAATAGTTCCCTGTCTAAGCTAAAGCGAGTAATTGAATCAGTCCAAGGCACTGAAGGAGCATTTGATGTAACTCCTCTCACTACAAGTCCACTTCCTGTTGCTATTGGTACCATTTCTTGGCCTTCCAATTTGAATGGGAGCACTCAACAGCTCTCACCAAACTCTAAACCCTCCGAACATCATGATGACAAGAATGGATTTCCCACCACTATAATACCAGGAAGTGATGGACAGGCTGGTTTTGAAGATCAATTGCGAGGATGTAGAATGTTGAGTCAAGAGGAACTCACTGTGCAAAACAGGTTTTCACCGGAGGTAGGTAATGGCTCAAACAGATCCAAAACAAGGAGTGGCTCAAGGGACGAGAGTGCAGGAACTCCTCCTTTTCATGGCTCATGCCATGGTAGCCCAGAAAATGAAAGGGCACCTGCAAAGGACCCATCTGTTTCTCCTGTCCATAAGCGATGCATTAAAGCAGGAGGATCACCTGAAGTGGCACTTAAACAAACCAGGGAACTAGATCTGTCAGCTGCATACTCAATACCTGATGCTGTTGCCGCAACAGAAGCTCAAGAACCATTTGGTGGAATGCTAATAGAGGATGCTGGAAGTTCAAAAGATTTGAGAAACCTTTGTCCTGCCACGGCGGATGCTATTGTGGATGAGCGAGTTCCAGAATCTATTTGGACAAATCCTCCATGTTCACATATGAATCCCACACAAACTGTAGCTGCTCTGTCGGACGCAATGCCTCATGTAACATCTAGGCAAGAAATGAAGAACGTAACCATAAAGGCAACATATAGGGAAGACATAATAAGGTTCCGAATCTCTCTGAGTTGTGGGATTGTGGAGTTGAAAGAGGAAGTGGCAAAGAGGCTGAAGTTGGAGGTGGGTACTTTTGACATAAAGTATCTGGATGATGATCACGAATGGGTTTTGATAGCCTGTGATGCGGACCTGCAGGAGTGTATGGATGTTTCTAGATCATCAAGTTATTATATAATCAGGCTATCAGTTCATGATGCAAATGCCAATCTCGGGAGCTCCTGTGAGAGCAATGGGGAGTTATGATTAGGTTGTCTTTGTAAATATGGAAAGTTTGGAGCACAATTCTTAGATTCCTAGGCAAGCGAAGCTGTAGATCATTTTTTGGTTCTGAGAATTTGATTGAACTGTAAGAAATTTTCGTATAGAGATTAACATCTTCAGTTTTCCATGTTGTCTCCATTGTATTTTTTCAGTCCCTTTTCTTTTCTCTCTTTTTTATTTTTATTTTATTTTTTTGTTTTTTTGAGAAAAATTTAGGTGCTACCACTTATTCATTGCAAAGTGACGATGAGGTCCCTGACCAGTTAAGTCTTAAATCACTTGTTTGATTGTTAAATGTTTGAAAAATAGATATAGATTTTCATAATAAAAAATCAAAAATCTAGTCAGAATATTATGCAATGCATCTTACCTTAAATAATATTATGCAATGCAATTTGTCTTAAATAAGATAAAGTATGATGATTTTTTATTTTTTTCACACGTAATAAATCCCTCATCTAAGATTCTAAACAGACCAATCATATGGTTTTCTAATAACCATAATACTAGGTGATGACTCCATTATTTTTGCCATTTCCCTATTTCCCAAAACCATCATCCTCGCCCTGATGTCGGTCTTGTAAAAAACTATCACTATTATTTTTATTATACCACTATTATCACTACCACTCTTCTTTTATTACCACCTTCTATAGAGATTGTATCAATTTTTTTAAATATATTATTGTCATTTCTATACTTTTTTATTATCACATTCTCCTATTCAATCACCACCAATATCATAATCACTTCTATCATTTTTATTACCATTATAGTTAATAAAATTATTTTTTTAATTTTAATTTTTATTCGTATTAAAAAATTTAAATTTCATTTTGATTTTTTTATTACCATTTCAAACACAATATAAAAATATAAATGTTATTTTTATTTTCTAATTTTTATTTCGATTTTTATATTTTTATTTCGAATTTTTCATTTTTAGTAATCAAATCACACTTAAAAGTTGTAACTTTTGGTAAATTACGTGCTTTCTAATGTTTATATTTTAAGTAGAAGCAAAGAATTAGATGACTTATATCTAACATACTTACTCTTTCATTACTATTTCTCTGCGTCCATTTCCTTTTGCAGGTTTATTGTCGTGTGTATTGGTAACTGTTTTTTTTTTACTTTTTTTTTTTATAAAAAGGAACATAATATCAGAGCATACATGCTTGAACACAATACTCTATTTATTCTTAGAGTATTCCGAAGAGATTGTTTCATTTTACTTTTCACACAAATATCATCATTTTTCTTTTCATACTTTTTTTAAAAAAAATATTTTTTAAAAAATTGTATTTGGACAATCTTTTATAAAATCAACTTCAATTAAGGATATTTTAATAAAACACATAACTTAAAATTTTGATTAGATAGATATTTTGGGACATTTGTAAATAGAAAGGTTTATTGGTGTCTTGATGGCGCCTATTTTGTGATCTCCTGTAAAAGCTTGTGTGAAGGAATGGAGAGATTGATCGTAAGAACACGCTCAATTTCACTGCTCTGTTTCGGAATGCAACCAGGATTCTCGTATAACATATAAGGCAAGATGCCTCATCAAGCAATTGAACATCTGGTATTTCTGGCCTTTCAATATAAAACTCTAGTCTACAACACATTCTTATATATGAGAATGTGCAAGTTATTAGAGTTTGATTCTCCTACTAGAGCGGATAAAATGGCAAAAGCATAAAGATCGAAGACAACAATGAGACTTAATGTCCGCATCTTTAATGAGGTAAAACCATTGTGTTTTGAATACCAGAATTATTCTATATAGAATATAGATACTCATCTGTATGGATTGGGAAATATATATATAAGTTCATGGAAAATAAGGAAACTGTTAGGGATGCTATCTAGAGCTCAGTTATGGCTAATCCTTCTATTTCATCCCCTTGAACCATGACCCTTCCGTGAGGAACCTGTTTTATTGGAGTTTCCATTAACAACCACCTCTGCTAAGCCCACCTCACCCTGGGCCTGCCTTGCTGCTATCTGTCTTTGTGTGGATCTGTAGTACACAGCATATAGGAGCAACTGGGCCACTGCAAATAATGTGCCCATTCCATTCGGGAACTGAAAAATAAACCATGGGCCCATGTTAAAGAACACTAAACACACTTTGTTGCTATTACACAAACACAGATATACAGTGAAAGAGAGAGATGCATTTACGAGAATGAAGGGGTCAAATTTGATGAGAGCATAAGCAGACCAGGCAACACCATTGGCAAAGGAAGCAAGGGAGATGTAAAATGGCATGTACTCCACGCTTTTTGTAGTGATCACCAATTTCTGCATCATTTAAAACAAATTATTTTTGTCCCAAATATTTCTCCTAATTAATAATCTTCGTTTTGGAAACAAGCACAAACATGGCATAGTCCATATATAATAAAGCACAATGAGATTAAAAAGACACATAGAGCTAGCTAGCAACCAAATTAAAATTTGGGAAATTGACTGAAATTGGCATGCTTTAGGAGACTAACCATGACTGATAAAGGTGAAGCATACATCATGATATTGAAAACTATGGCCACAATTCCAATAACGGCAGTTCTCTTCTTGGTGGTATGGACCAGAGTTAGGACCAGAATGGTAAGGGCAGCAATGAATATAACCTCAACAAGCACAATTAGGAGGACCTTAAGCCTCCTTTTCTTGTCGGAGTACATGAGAAAAATGAGTAGGTAGGCGATCTCAATAGCAGTTCCTGTCCCATTTATTGTCCAAACCAATGTGCTTTTAGGGTGCACAAAGGGCAGTCCATATAAGACCCAAACCGCGCAGTTGATTAAGGTTGCAAGGTATGGAGCTGCTGAGAATTGCTCTACTGACTTATTTTTCCATATTTGGATAAAAGTTGGCCTGAGAAAGTCAATAAAAAGAAGATGGAAGTCATTAATTAATTTATTTTTTTTAAAAAACAATATATATATATATGGAAAAAGAAAGAAAGCCGGATGCTTCTTGCATATTTAATTTGGTACCAAATAAAGTGCTTCCTTAATGTTTCTTGTGCTTTACCAAATGATTTTGAATCAATTAAAATAAAGTGGCTGGTTAATAATTTCTTTGGTGATTTGCATGCAAGTCACAAAATTTTGGTCCAAAAGATAAAATAATTGAAAAAAATAAATTGATTCTTTTTTACCGTAAAACTTTGATAATTTACATTTAGTCCGCACTAAAATTTTGAAATTTTTATTATGCGCTTCGATTTTATATGTTTGTCCCCTAGGAATTAATCAATTATTTTCTCATTAATTCGCTCCTCTAATCCTAAATTTTAATCTTAAAAAAAATCACTACAAAACCCACCGATCGACTTAAAGAAATGATTTTGATCATACGGAGAGCCATGTATAATAAATAGTACTTACACTGGTGACATGAACAAGAAAAATGAGATGACATTTCCTACAAAATAAGCAAACAAACCCACGTCGTCATTAGAGAAGATTAATTACAAGAAGCTCAATCAAAAGAACTCTCCTTTTCTCTGTATAAAAAGAAACAAAAAACCCACAAAATGTTATTGAAGCTTAAAGAAACCGACTGAAACATCATACGTATATGATTAATGAAGCAAATAAATAAGGCTTAACCCTTCTTACCTATGATTCCAACCACATCTCTTGCAAGATCTGCAGAAACCATGGCTATGAGATGTGAAGCTCTAAACTAAAAGCTAGCAATTTTCTTATTTTCAAAGAGATGGAATCTGATTTATGGAGGAAGGAATTAAGCAGGGTATTCGGTGAGCTTCTGTCTGTCTTATAAGCTTAAATTTGGCAGGTAAATCCAAAGAATTTTATTGCATTGCATGTATTGGGTGGTGCAATCTGCACCAACCCATGTAAGAAAAAAAAAAAGGTAAAAATGATAACTTGGTACCTTTTTTTAGGAAACTAATTAAAGTTAGTCCTTACGGTTATATTTGTTTCCTTTTTTTTTCTTCTATTTAGTAGTCGCTTCAGGATGGCTTTTGGTACAAGATTGAAAAATAAGAATGAATTATTATAAAAATAACTATTAGTAAAAGGATAATTTCTAACATATAAAAGTTAGTTTTGTAGATGTTCGATCATGTGTTAATATAGTGAAAGATAAAAATTGTTAGTGAAAATAGAAAGAAGGCAATAAAATTATTAGTAATGACAATGAAAGAAAAAAAGATAATTAATTGATACATATTTGGACATAAAAAAGAAGGAATAGAGTAAATAAAATTGTTGAGGCTAAAATTTAATCTCCAAAAACACCAATTTGGAAGGTAATCATTATTCTCTTAATTAACAATTCATTTTTTTTTAAAAAAAAAAAAACCCACAAAAATTTAATTTCACAATAGTAAATTCTAAACACACACACACACCAATTAGCCCTTTACCAAATGTAATCTTGACGTTAATTAAAAATGTAACTTATTTATTAAGTTGGTGGTCAAAGGTCAAAGGTGAAATGTTAGAGATGGTTAAGAGAGCAACTTATTAATTGAGGGGATAATTTATTAGTTTCTAAAAATATAGCAACTAATCTGTAATTTACTAAAAGCAAGAGAGAGAGGTGGAGAGAGACTGTGTGCGTGAAAAAAAAGAAAAAGAAAAAAAAAGGTGGATGCAACTGTGCATGTGTTTGGGAGTGGAGGCTGGGCATGGCACTGCATTCAAGATTTCAAAATTCTAGATAGCTACCTGACTTCAAAAGCAAATGATAAATTTTTCTCCTGAGGATGATTTGGCCATTAGTGAATTCAATTCTAGTTTATCCAAATGCATGTAAGTTAAATAGTCAATGTGTCATATCAATTAACCTGCTGCAGGCTACCTTTGGCTATCCATTTGTTTACATTGAAAATAATGCTTTTGTAGAGGACAAAATTACCTTATATTATATATATAGACACACAAATACATATTTTAATTTAATAATTAAACAGAAAATCAGTCGTCAAATAATTTGAATAGCTCGGACAATTGCTCTGCGGAAGGTGGGTCATGGTGAGGATGTGAAATAGACATACACCTCTAGTACTCTTTCCTTTGCTTATCTAACTATTGCTATTTGATCCTTCTTTATGGAGAGTTTTTTTTTTATATCATTAATTTCTCCAACACCAGATTTGTTGTATAGCTATTTATAAAGCATAACCCACATTAATGTGGATGTTCATGAAGCAAATGTTATGTCAAATGTATGTTTTTTTTTTTTTTTTTTTGAGTGCTTTTGAGCAGCTAACACCACTTAGAGTACAAATAGGCCATTAATGGTTGAACAGAATTAGATTGGTAGAAGGGAGCCACTTATTCAACCACTACGGATGAATTCAAACCGAGGTAGTTTATTTTTCTTTATTTATACATGGACATGGACTTGTTGGCCTATGGCAGTAGAGTTCAGTCCCATATCTAGAAATCTGCAGTGCCCAAACCAATGATAAGCCCCAACTATGTAGCCCATTAACAAAAATGCTGCTTACGGCTTACTTCTAATCTATCTAATTAATCAATTTCTTTATAGATATCCTTTCCTATCCTATCACTTGGCATTGATTACTAGAAAAAGCCATCGGTTGAGTGTGTTAAAGACTATATTTACAGTGGGATTTATTTTTCAAACACAAGTTGAAACAATCCATAGATGTATGGTTGGGATTAGCTGTGTGCCCAATCATGGTGGTCTTTAGATTGATAGTAGCCCACGTTGCTTTTATGAGAGAACCTCCATGGCCAGTGGGCAGAATTTCAAAAGGTTTCATTGGTTAGGCTGTGCGGTCATTTAGAAAGTAGGTCACAGAAAGTTTTAACAGCTATTCTGGATGCCACTCTGCTGGTTCATACACTTAGGCAGAGTAGTAGAAAGATTAGGCAGAATTTTGTCATTAGGGGAGTTAGGAGTTGTGTATGTCTCATGTATTCTTGAGTTCATATTACAACAATAAGCTGGGCATGCAGAATCATGATAAGGGAAATGCATAAGAAGACATCAGGCATTCTCAAAATTTATTTGCTCAAATGAACATTCTTCATTTCGGTGAACAACTTCGAAGTGTCACAATACAGACGATCAATAAAACAACTCAAATAGACAAACAAATCAGGATTTCAAAGCTCAAGAAACAGAAAACTCACCAGATTACAACTTCGACTCTATACAGGATCTTCTATGCTACAGAATGTGCATGTGTGGTAAAGTAGATAAATACGATTGGTACATTTTCAAATTCTAAAACCCCACTTCTTCGTTGATTCTTTCTTGGTCCTCCTTGAATTAGGATCAATAAGATTCTCCAATGATTTTGCCTTTTTGTTACGAGCCCTGCCTGCTTCTTTCAGGAGCTCAGCTAGCCTACTCTTCTCGTCTTCAAAATCAGGATTTGCAATTCCAAGCTTTTCTTCTCTCAGCTTTAGAACATACTCCAAGATCTCTATTGCATCTTCAACTCTGCAATGGAAGCCATAAAGTTCAACAGCAGACGAAAATAAATTAACAAATCTTTAGGCTGTAAGCAATGCTCAAATTATTACGATTCGAAACTCAAAACTAGCCATAAAAGCTTATTTATCTAGAATGATGTCTCCACTACAAGCAATAATTATAAGCTTTACAGAACCAAAATTATAAAACTGGAATATACACTTCAAAATTTAAGCCATAACTTAGTTCTTAAACCCCCACCATAAATCTTCTCATCTTGTCGATGCATATTTAGTGGAGAAAGGTGAAAGGACCAAAACATGAAATGTGTAATTTTCATAATACACGAGCATACGCAACAACTTCACAGAAAAGAATGTGCTAAACTAGTAACAATAACTCAATCAGTTATACTCTGTCCAGTAATCCTCCCCAGGGACAAAATTCAAACTCAATGTCAAAATGGATAAATCCACTCCTCGTCATCATAATAAGATAATGTCTGAGGGTAACAATTATCGAGTAGCAATAGTTTGAAATGACATATTACCTCCCCATAGCATCATAGGTTGCTGCAAGATTGCTATATACTCCAATCGTATCTTGATGGCATGGGCCACACTCCTGTTCCAGTATCCCCCTTGCCTCTTCAAATAAGTCGCAAGCCTCATCTATTTTAAACAGCTGGACACAAGCCAATCCCATCTGGTTCAGCACAACCCCAAAGAAGGCCGATTTCCTCTCACCACTACTTCTAAGTTTTGTTACAGCACTCTCAAATGAGTTCCTTGCTTCTTCATATCTCCCAACCATGTAAAACATCACTCCCATTCGAGCTTCGATTCCTGCAATAGTACTTTGCTGTCCTGGTTTATCCTCCAACAACTTCATTGCCTTTTGCAAGAGCTTCAATGCCTCCTCAGGCTCATCCACAGACTCAAAAATGGCTGAAATCTCAGTCAACCCCCCAGCAATCTCTTCTGCTGTGGTTCCTGGCACAGGTTTCGCATATATCCTCAGAGCATTTTCACAGTAAGACTTGGACTCTCGGAGTTTTCCTGTCCTATGATACAAGTCAGCAAGCCGAACAAAGACAGATGCAACCGAAGGGTGGTTGTCACCCTTTGATGACTTGAAGACAGTGAGTGCTTTCTGATATGAGAAGACAGCCTCATCAAAGCGACAGAGAGACATGTAAATGTTCCCAATGCTTACATCAATAGCAGCAACCTCGTTGTCCTGTCCATTTGCAATCATTGCCATGCTGGCAAGGACAAGGTGCTCAAGTGCTGATTCATAGTCTCCTTTTGCCTCGCATATAAGGGCCATCAGCCTGCGGTCAGCTGCTTCTTCAATAGATGCTGGTTCACTATGTGCACGGTGAATATCAAGAGTTTTCTTGCACAATTCTTCAGCTTTATCAAAGTTCATAGCTTGAACATGTGCCTCAGCTAAGTATCTGACGTTTCCAAATTAATAAACTAAAATCAAGAACAAGAAGAAACATGCTGATTCAAACTTATTTTCACCATACATTATATTCAGATAACAGCAAAATCTCAGTATAAAACATCAGGCTCATTTAATCATATTTTGGAAAAACAATAGCAAAAGAATTTGACAAACATAAACATCAACAAACTCATGTCAAAAAAAGAAGTAAAAATAAATTATTTTTTAATAAAAAGAGCGTATCACTATATATACATACAAATATAAAACGCCAAACAAATAGGAACATAAACAGAAATGGAAATGTTAACTTCAGTTCTCCTACTTTTAGCCTACAGCAGCAAACCTTAAACTCAAATCTCTTCCTAAAAATGGCCTACATTATAGTTATCTCCAACAAAAAATATCCAAATTTCTCTTAAGGTAACAAATCCAATCTTTTTTGTTTAAGGCATAATCAATCTAATTACCCTATTAACAACCGAACACAAAACAACAAAGAATGCAAAAAATCAACACTTTCCCTCCAAATCCATTAACATTAGCATAATCAGCGAAAAATACACACATATAAATCACGCTTGAAAGTCTTAATCTCTCATTAAGAAAAAAGTCCCAACCTTAGCTACCCCAATATATCAAATTCACAATCACAAGAAGTCAACAGCTTAAAAAAAGAAAAAAAGAAAAAAAAAGAAATCTTAGGGAAAAAAAAAACAACAACTCATGAAGAGAAACAGTTCAAAATCCAAAACCCACAAACCTGCAAGTCTCACCAACTCGTGGATCAATCTCCCCCAAGCTCTCGATCTGAATCTGCAAACCTTTCTCGTAACACTCAATAGACTTATCAACTTGACCCAACATTGAATAAGTATCCCCCAACTGCATATACCCACTAAACCCAGCAAGTGCATGATCTATTCCTTTACTCAAATCAGGCACTTTAATGGCCCTTTCAAGAACAGGCACTGCCTCTTCAAACCTCCCTAAGCTACAATAAATTGCACCCAAAACATGAAGACTCATAACAAGATCCAAACTTGGCTCTTCTCCTTTCTCAATTGCCACTCTTTCAAACGAATTTGATGCTCTAATTGCATAGTCCAAGGCCTTAATGGGTCCTTCACCGGATGCAATGGTGTCACGGGCGAGCTTTAAGAGAAACGGGCCAAGATCGGGGTTGTCCAAGGAAGGATCCGAGAGGAGAGTATTCGGGTTGGGAGAATCCGGTGGGGGTTTTTTGGCGGAGCGGGCAGGGGAAGGTTTGGATCGGGATGGGGAAGGAGATGGGGGTTTTTTGGGAGTTGGGGTTCTGGGTTGTTGTTCGGATCGGGTCGAAGATTCGGGTCGGATCTCAGGGACAGAAATGTTAAGTGGTGGTGCATCAGGTGGGGTTTTAACAGAGACAAGACCCGGCATGGTTGTCTTGGGAGAGATTTGCAGAGAGAGAGAGAGAAGCAGAGTGAGAGTTATGGAGAAGAAATGGAAAATGAGAGAGCGAAAGAGAGAGGTTAAGGAGGAGGGAATTAGGTGATTAGTGGAATAATTAAGAGAGATGATTAAGGACAAGGTACCAAGATGGAACTGACAGGAAGGTGGTATTCAGTATTCTTTTGTTAGGACAACAAACAAGATCAGATCAGACGCAGCCCTGCCTGCTGCAGATCTTCACGATTCAATCTTTTTTTTTGAGGAACTGGGGATAAAATGGTAAACCAGTCTGGATTTTCGTTTTTACGACTACTTTTTACTTATCTAACTGCTAACTGCCAAGTTGACGAAAATGTGAACAAACTTTGCTTCCTTTTCTTCTTTAAAAGCAGTAATAATAATAATAATAATAATTTGCTTCTTCCATGTTTTAATGGTTATATCTGGGTCATTCAATGATTTTCATGAAATAATATTGCGCTGAGCTTAACATAATAACATTGGTACGAGACCCGAGAGAAAGCCTACAATGACAATACTGTAACTTACACAAGACTTTCACTCTCCTACCTCAATGTTTGGATCAACTCACATCAGTCTTTTAATCATAGAAACTTCCATCTTATTTTTTTAAGAAATGACTTCAAGTCTAATGATTTACAAAAATTGGGATAAGGTTTGAATCCAAAATCTCCTCATATTGTAAATCTATGTTCTTAAAGCATGTGCTAATTAAAGCATGTGCTAACAACATAACGTAACTCAATTTCAACCAAACAAGAATCAAGATGAAATATAATAGATAAAATAAGAAAAACAAATAAATGTAAGTTTATTGTAACAATCCATCCTAAAGTAATATTTAAGTTAGTAATTAAAAAAAAAAATTAGGCACTATGTAAAGAAAAAACAAGACAGGTAATTGTCCTTTATTTTTCCTTTCTTCTTCCCATCTCCTTCTCATGTAATTCTCTCTATTTTTCCTCTCAATTTCCTCTTTCAATTTTTAAGTTAAAACTTTCTTAAATTAGCTTAGAAAAATCATAAAACAAGTTAATTAAGTGGAGTTTAGTTGGATTGAAGCTTGGAAAGCTTGGAGAGTTGTGATTGAATTTGGGTTGGAGAACCAATTGTCAAAGGTAAAGAATTTCTATCATTTGATCTTTTAATAAAGGTATTTATATGTGTATTTGATGATTTTGAAGTTGAATTGGATTGGATTTGTTGTTAGGATGAAGAATTGAGTTAGATTTATGTTAGAGTTTTTGATCAGACTCATTTGGGGGAGAAGTTGATTAAGTGATTCTAGGTGATTAAATGTTGTTTAATTATTTTGGGTAAGTGGTTTATGAAGTTAAATTAAAGTGGGATGGAGTAAATTTGATTAATTAAGAGGTTGAAGATGATGAATGATGAAAAATTTGAAATTAGGTTTTGAATTGAAAAGAATTTGGAGAAAATGAAGAATTGAGTTATATAAATGCGATTAAAAAAGAATGGAATGAGAATTGAGTGAATTAAAATAGAATTGATTATTTAAAGGTTTGAATTGAATTTGAAAAAAGATGAAAGGGATGAAGGTTGATTGAATTAGGGATTGATGATGGGATATTGTTTGATAATTATTTAGAATTGTTGAAGAGATTATAAATTTTAGTTAAAGTTATTAGTTTGAGTCTTTCGGTCAATTCCGTTCTTATAGATAATTTTATATTCCAATTTCTAGAATAATTTATTTGTTTTAAAGTATTCTTCGATATGTGATGTTGATGGTTACTTCATCATCTTTTATTATTAGATTCTTCGGAGCGAGCAACTCTATCTCAAGCAACCTTAACTTTATTGGATTCTTCATTTTTACTATGAGTGGATATTATATAGCATATTATGCTTATAAATTCCTTTGACATATCTAACATGCATCATTGGTTTATATGTGATTTAATCACATTCCTTAGAACTTAAATGGAAACGGACCCTATGAGTATTTGAAATAATTTTGTATAAAAAATGATTTGATATGATCTACAAAGAGATTTAAGTATATGTTTGAACAAGTGTTTTAATTGGTTTGATGTGTATTTATGGATTTAATGCTAATTTACTTTAGATCGTTATTTTGATTATTCGAATAATTTTTATTAATGTTTATTTGATATTGAATTGTATTATCAATCCGATTTTGAGCATGCATTGTGTTTGAAATACTTGGATTTAGAATATGCATAAACTTATATGGTTTTCGATATGATTGGTTACTATTTTGGGATACCTATCTAGGGGCGTAGCTTTTGAGCCTAATGATACGAGGCTCCAACTAGCGAGGAGAGGTAGAGTGCTAACTTGTGTGTCAACCAATATACGAAACCTAGTCATGGGGGTGTGACCTTTGGGTATTCACATCTAATGATATGCTATGTTTTCACCTCAAGTGTAAAGCAAACTTAAAAGTATGATTTGATTTCATTATGATATGTAAGTGTAATTTAGATACTTGATTTGATTTGAGTATGATATATGCATATATAAATATTTCGATGATTTAATACGAATTGGTTTTGAACCAATTAAGATTCGATATTTATGATGTGCATTTGTTTTGAAGAAATAAATATGGCATTTTGATTCGAATTTTAAGTTATCATCCTTAGTTTATTTTCCTCCTTTAGATGTGTTATATAGTATCCACTCACCGAGCTATTGATTTGTTTATCCTTCACAATTTCAATTTTATAGGGTTTATGAAAGTGCCCTTTTAGCTTCCACTCGGTTTCTTGTCTTGAAGTCGACATATTGATCGTATGGCTTATTTACTTGTAATCTTTTAGAACTTGTGTTTGAGTTTGTTGTAATTCTTAGAATCTCTACAGTTATAACTTGTGAGAGTTGTATTAGAATTTGATTTTGAGTATTGATTTGAGAAATACAAGAATAACATTGAATTATGATTTATGCTTGGAGTTTTGAGTATTAACTATTAGGTCATGATACTGCGAATATGAAATAATGTTTGATGTAATATAAATTTAAGAATTATAGTTTTGGTATTTTGAGACTTACTTAACTCAAGGTAGGCCTCGAGTTCCCTTAATGCTTGCACCGTTTATGGCTCACTCCTAGGGTTTTGACATTTATGAAAAGTAAGAAGAACAATTATGTGAATGAAACCAAAATATGATTGAGTTATTGAAAATAATTATTACAAGTATGTTTTTTTACCTAGAGTTTTCAAGATAAGAACCCTAAGGATTACAAGAGGAAACTAGAGAGAATCGAGAGAAAATGAAAAGAGTAGAATATTCACTAATGCCGAATACCCTTTCTCTTCTCATTCCTCTCGGTTTTAATCCATCAAAGACTAATAGCTTTTCTAACAAACTAACCACTAATACACACTCATGTCATTTAAAAAAAATCAATACACATGTTATTTATTTATTTTTTACTTCTTCTTCCTCTATTTTAGTTAGCCCATTCTTTTTTTTTTTTTTTGTGCATGAAATGGGCATACTTGGTTAACCTATCAACTACCATAAAAATGATAGATTTTCCTTGAGACGAGTGGTAATCCTTCAATAAAATTCATCGTAATATCGGTGAAAATAGATTACGGTAAAAGAAAAGACTATAACAAACCGAGCAAGACCACATTTTCATACACTCGTTGACAAATAGCACAAGCTCTCGTATACTCTCGAATAGTTCTCGTCAATCCCTTCCAATAGAATAATGCAACAACTCTTTTTGTAATGTGCCAAATGTGCATTTAAACTTCTTGGCATATAGAACATGATTTCTTAGTAGAGATAATAGTTCTCGTTAATCCCTTCCAATAGAATAATGCAGAGAACTCTTTTTGTAATGTGCCAAATGTGCATTTAAACTTCTTGGCATATAGAACATGATTTCTTAGTAGAGATAATATAGTTTCTAAATGATGCATATAGTCTTTAAGGTTTTTACTAAAAATGAGTATGTCATCAAAGAAAACCAAAATGAATTTTCTAAGAAAAAGATGAAAAAACATTTATTAGTGATTGAAATATACTAGGAGCATTAGTTAAACCAAAGGGCATCACCAAGTACCTATAGTGACCATTATGAGTTTTAAAAGCCATTTTAGGAATGTCATTATGTTGTATTCAAATTTGATGGTAACCAACCCTCAAATCTATTTTTTTATATATTTTTTTTTTTTAAAAAAATAGAAGATCCTAGTAGTTCATTCAATAATTCCTCGATGATTAGAATAGAAAGTCGATCTTTGATATTCATTTGATTAAGTTTCCTATAATCCACATACATTTTCCAAATATCATCTTTTTTTATTACTAACACTATTGGAGATGAAAATGGATTAGTACTATATTGGACAATTTCGATGCCTAACATCTTACCGACTTGCTTCTCAATCTCATTCTTTTATAATGGAGGATAACTATAAGACTTTATACTTATAGGTTATGATCCCTCTTTTAAAAGGATCCTATTATCATGAATTCTCTATAGAGATATAGTCCTTATGGTTTCTAAAATAAATCTTCAAATTCTACTAATATCGCCTTTTATTCATTAGAGGTTGATGATTGTAATACTAACATATTGTTCTCCAATTCCCAATCATCAAAATTTAGTAATTGGTTCAATTGTAACCAATTTAATTGCTCGTTGTCTACGAGTGCATTTTATGAATCTCTTTCTCCTCTAGACCTTTAATGAACTCACTACTTTTACATTGTAATTCAAACATTTTCCCCTTAACAAACTTGATCCACATTACCTTAAAGTTCTAGGTAATGTCTCATAAATCGTATAGCCATGCTATACCCAAGATCATATCATATAATTATATCCGAATTATATACACTGCTCGTAACAAATTTTTTTCCTTGCATTTTCCATTCAAAATGTTGACACATATACTCACACAATATTTCTCCCATATTTGCCACCTTAATAGCCACATGATGAATTTTAACCAATTCACA